AGACTTTGTCATCATCCAGTTACCACTGCATGAGAAAATCAGTTATGATGACCATTTCACTGGAGAATCACGAATGCCAATTCCCGAATAAATGTAGTGACAATGTTCGAATCCGACACGGTGAAGCCTTAATTCCCCACGACTTATGATGTGCATAAATCGAGATTCACGCATGGGTTTCCAAATTGTTCCTTTTTTCATCATTAGAAATTCTCTCACTCATGTGGACACCGGTCGGACATACCGAAAAGGAAGGCGGGAGAAGACTTGAGCCGGCCGGTCTGCAGCTGAGCATCTCGTATCCTCTCGCGAACGTCTGCGTGCAAGGACAACGGCACCTAGCAAGCAGCGCGCACATCCAATATTCTGTCAATCTATACCACACCTCACCGAAAAGACCCAAGATTCGTTCCCCCCACCCCCAATCCTTGGTTTATCATTCATAGACCTCATATTAGCCGTAAACTGGAAGCCCATACGCAACGATGCGGGATCGCCAATCTCTTTCCCGTTCTTCACCGCCTGAGATGACATAACCAGTAACCTTTAGTAAACCATTCTCAACGTATTGAGCTTTGAAGCATTCACCATGTATTACGCGTTATAAAGGAAACTTTCAATTGACCTCCTCAGACACACTGTTACCAACATCAACACTATCCCGATTCTTATCAAAAGTCAGAGGGCCCAAGCATTGCAAGAAGCCAGTGAATCAACAGGTCAAAAAACTGCAGTTTACATGTTTTTCTAACTCACAGCTTGTGTGGTCACTACAGTTTCCAAAAGTTTTGGAGAAAATGCAGATAATCAACTACGTGTGTTGGTCGCAATGCGGACATTCCGAGAAAATTTGAAGCCATTCCTCTTGATTTTTTTTTCTACTTCTGCCCCAAGTCGTGCTCAAATTTCCTTAATACAGCTCCTGAGCTCAGCCGGAGGAAGCAAATACATATTCCAACACCGTCCCGTAATGCCCAACTGTAAACAGCTCTCACCTCAGCGAGCAAATATCGTCGAGCCGCGCCCGCCAGCAAGGCCAGAATCACGTCATTGATTTTAGCCCCGGTCACTCGGGAGACAACCTTCAGATCTTCCACAGACACTTCCTTCCCGAAACGAACTTCCAAACGCCCACGTCTCGAGAATGTTGGATGCAAACTCGTATAAGAATCGGGTAGTACGGAAAATACCAGAAGCATATAAATTGCCCATGGGATGAGCTTCAGCCATTGCCACAAGATGCATCTGAAGTCAAATCATAATCGCCTACGAAAAGTGGGCGAAAAACTCCGAAGAATGGACGTTTTTCCCCACTCACAGTCCCGATGCAAGCCTTGAAGTCTTCGAATTCACACCGTCCTCA